TCATAAGGAAAGAAAAGGAAAATATTGACAAAAAGAAAGGGGGGGGGGGGGGGGGAGAAAAATTTCCTTATTCCGTTTTCATTAGTTCGAAGGAAATGAAAGGAAAATTTTAAGTTTCCGTGTTCCCGAGTTATGATGGAAAAGAAAATAAAACTAAAAGATTTTCCTTCCCCTCACTTTTTTCCAAATTCCGCCTAATTTAGGAGGAAATTTTGGAAGAAAAATATGGCTGCAAAATCCTTTCCGTCCCTAACTCTCCCTCCATCAATTAAACTCAGGAACACAATTTCTAATGACATCCCTCACCATCAATGTTCTAAAAGGCGTGCCATGGCCTGAGGCGTGATTTCACCGTTATGAAAAACCTCATAACGTTGTTGTTAGGTGTGACGCGTGTCAAGGTGTAATATGACATACCATGACTGTTATGGCATGTTATGACGCGTGTTTTTTCGTTTGAGACACGTTCTTTTTCTTTTTGTTATGTCTTTTCTAATCGGAGATACAAATATTGTGTTTTTTATAATTTTTTTTTGTTATTAGTTATTGATATAACATTTCTAAAAGGTAGATATATTTAATATAAATTTATATTTATGTGGTAATTTAACTATAAATTAATACAAAATCGCCGCCTGACATCACTCGTTGAAAAACGCAATGACTCTTCATGGTTCATTAAGCTTGAGGCTTGGTCTTGCTGTCACACCACGCCTCACACCATCTATACATTGGGAAACAAGGCGTAAAGGGCACCCACGTCCCTTACGATTAAATCTAGATATTCAAATTTTAGTTAAAAAGGCAAAACAAAACCAGGATAATTCATGAATCGGGAAATAGGCTATTACATAAATATTTATAATTTAGGAAACTTAATCATTATCTTTAACTTAAAATCTTATATTTTATGTCATCATCTTCTACATTTCACGAGACCGTCACCATCTTAAAAAACCGAGTTATCATCTTTATATCTACATCATCATCTTCACATCATACATCACTAGATCACATATACCTTTACTACATCCTACTAAAATCGGGCATCTTCAAAGGACTATACCCAACTACAATCCTCATCACATGCCTACAACCTAACCCTATCATATCACCTTATGACCACCACCCATTTAATAGCCTAGCAAACTCCATTAGAGATGGGATTTAAAATCGGACAACTAGACCAAAACTGGAACCGCTAGAACCAGAATATGTAAAACCATTTCGGATTCCTGATTTAAATAATGGCTTTACTTGGGTTTCGGGTAATTTAAGTTTGGGTCCTTAGGGTCCGGTTAAACCAAGTTTAGGGATCAGAACCAATTTGTGTGAAAAGTTTAAAACATGCATATGTCATTCGTTTGAAGTCGGATTAACATGTAGTTTTTTCCAGTGTGTATTTTAGAGGTTTTACATGATTTTAGACTATAATTGTTATATTTTTGGTTTGATATTCAATGATTTACAATCCATCGAAGTCAGGATACTAAAGCTGGAAAAAAGTTCAACCCAATAAGTAGTAACCAAAAAACTCCAGTTCGTATATACTGGTTCAATTTCCAGTCCTGCAGAAGGGGATGGAAGAAGAAGCACCAAAAGTAAGAGAGAATGATGAAACTTATTTTGATTCATTGACCGGTGATGTATTCATAGCCGTAGGACGCACGCTCGCACACAAGTTCAGTAAACCGAAGCCAAACTGACTTGCATGCGCGTGCAAGAGAGAGCCTTAGTTTTATAAGTCTTACTAAGATAGATAGTCTTTGTAGTTATAAACCCATTTTCCTTTTCATACTCCCACCAATATGGGATGAAACAAAACTCAATTAACTCATTTTTAATCTCTTCCAACTACCTCACGTTGACAAGTAATTTCTCATTCATTTTCAATCTATTTTGGATGTTTTATATATCAAAACCAAGGTGTCACGGATGAAAACAAAAATATGTAATCATTTGTCCATTTTGATTATATCAAAAGTTCGAAATTCATACTAAAAAATGGAGACAAAAACCATTTTTGGAAATTGGGAAAACCAATTTCCAACAAAAGAAGATGAAACTCTATCAATTTTGGTGGAAACTAAGGTGCTGTTTGATTTTCTGAAGCAAAAATTCATGAAGTCTGCGGACCACCTCTGCAACCCTCTGCAGTAGAAGAGGTGGACCAAACGGCTGCAGACTATAATTAAAAGCATGTTTGTTTTTTTAACAGCTGCATACTGCTGCAGATATTAAAAAATTAAAATAAACTAATTTTATAAACCGAAAATAGCTTTTTAATACGTAAAATTTAATAATGTATAACATTTCGGTAAAAATTAATGATATTTCAGTAAAAAAGAATGATATTTCAACAAAAAAATAAAGATATTTTCAGTAAAAAATAATGATATTTCATCAAGAAATTATTATTATTGAATATAAAAAAATGAAAAATAAATTCAATAAGAATAAATGAAAAAAAAGGGAAAAAAAATATGAAATAAAATTTTAATAACATATAATCAAAATTTCAGCAATAAAATAAGAAGAAGAAGATGTTGGAAGAGGTTGGAAGAGGCAGTACAAGTGTTGCGCCAAACAGAGCACGCGCAGAGGTTTTTGACTTAGAAGGCTTCTAAAAAACAAACAGCTGCGAGATTAAAAGTGCTGCGCGTGTGCTGCGCCGCGCAGCAGTAAGAGGTTTGAAGAGGTTTTTTTCCAAAAAACAAACAGCACCTAAGATGAAATGGAAGGCTCACTAATTCTGATTTTTTATTTCTAATTTGTGTAAATTGTAAGATTTTGTTATTATTCTTTATTTTTTTCATATTAGTTTTATGATAAAAAGTTAATTTATGTGCTTTCTGTATGATTGTCTATAGATAACTTGAAACTTCAGTATTATAAGTTTTGAAATCCTTATTATTAAAGCCTAGAAAATGATTCCAAAAATCATTATGTTTGTTGCTGAAAAACGATTCAACATCACAAGTTCACAACTAGATTTTTCCGATTCATTTACGTGTTTTTTTCTTTTTGTTATATGTTCAAAATAATAGCATGTTGCCTAGCATTTGGTTATATAAGAAAAGGACAGAAAACAAAAAAATTGAACAACTGATACTATTACATAAACGTTCTAAGGACAAATTTATAAAACGACCCATTAAGAAACAAAAACAAAAAAACCAGTCACCTTTATTTTATTTTTTTACTTTAAGGGTCTCATTATTTTATTTTGCTTGGTGCCTCAAACTGGGGTTTGATCGGCCCTGCCTGGAATGTCATTGTAAATACTCTACAAGGTAGTCACTAATTTACATGTCGAATGATTTAGTCATGTCCTCGTCATCCAGGAAGGCTTAAGTGTAAATATGTGTGTAGGATTCAATCATTTGTTGAGGACAAAGTGTTCATTGTGTTCTTGCTGTTTACTTCACTTCATCATAACAGTAATTTTATGAAATATGTGGACTAGAGATGCATTTGTTGTGACATGAACTAACATTAGTGTCGAAGAAAAGTGAGATCACGCTTTATTTTTAATTTTGGATTTGATACCCACATTTTTTTAATAATTCCATCAACTAAATATTAAAAGACAGACGACGGCATTTACTACTAACCTCTTCTGAATGCATCATTCATCAATAGTGTAATTATTGTATTAAATTTAAAATACATCCTTATTTCAAAATGAATAGAACATTATTTTTCTCATTTCTTACACAATTTAATTCGAAAATAACGGCATATGATATGTTGGAAAAGCACGTGCATAGATGCATCAAAGTTTGCAGAGATCATCAGAAAAAGCAAAGCAAAATTCTAAAATATATAAAGATCCATAAAAGTTTATTAAGAGACTCATAGCCCCCTAATGTTTGTGTAAATTACAGTGGCACCCCCATATGTTTAGCAGCTTTTTGTACAAGCACTAAAACTTGAGGGGACGTTGCCGTGTATGTGCCATTTTGTAGAGTAGGACTAGATCTAAAAACCTCCTAATCTTTGAGTTCATATTAGCTAACATGTTGTCATGTGATCAACCCTAAGTGTACTTCAATTGAAATGGCTTCTTTTGTAAGATAGGAATATAATAATTTAGTTATAAACACCATTAATGATGTAAATAACATCCACATCCCACTATATTATTTGTGGTCACATTGATATGCTCTTTTATACATCACACCAACGTGAATTGCATAGTACTTAGCACATGATGACATGAAGAGGCACATTAGCAACATTATCATATTTATTAAGTATTACACACGAGTATGGATGAGCGAATCCACAAAAAATATTATACTAAAAATGAACAGATTAAACATATCTTATATTGTTAATAACTGAATATTAAATTCTAATATGAAAAACAATTACCTATCATTTTTTGATGACAATAAGAGAAATCATTGTTTGAAATTTGCTAAGTGATTATTTTTGTCAACACTTTGAAACACCTCTTGGCTCTTATTCATCAAAATCGGATTTCTAGTGACAAGAATTTTTTTCTCCCTGAGTATAACCACAATCACAATTCGGTCAAAACATTATTCGAAAATGTACGTGGTAGATTTTGCAAGGAGAACAAAAGACGGGGGGTGTAGTTGTAAAAATGATTAGACAGGGGTGTAGTTGTAAAAGTGCTTAAAGAAATGTCTAGAGTGTGGATACATGTGTCTTTGTGTTTGTTTTTTGTGTTTATTGCTTTGCATTGGATCCTTCGCCGAATTAGAGGCTTTCAATGTCTTCTATGCCATATGTATCATCCCTTCTCTCTTCCGATTTTTTTTTCTTTGCTTTTTTTAATTAATAAAATATGATATGATTATTTTTTTTTTCTTTTTAATTGTTATGAAATAGCAAAAAAGGTTAATGTCGCTCTCCCAAGTCCCATCCCACGCCATTTCTATATCATATACCGATATACGACATAAACACCACTCTCTTTCCATCTTTCAACATCCCCCTTGTTTTCAGAGCCAAATTCCGATCATATTACGATGAGCTTCGATACCCAACAACCACATGTACGCAATTCATCGGCAACGTCAACGCCACCGTTGACAGAAGAGCTCAGTCGTACTGCATTAGAATTTCAAAATCAAGAACAAGAAGATGAAAATATTTTAAGCTTGACGATCAAACTGACATCGTCTGTTAGAGAATTCAACAATGGTGGCCAGGATTTTGAGGAAGAAGACGAACCCAGAACTCCGACGTCTTCAGATCAGAAAATTCCGGTAACCACCACCTGTCCACCGGCACCCAGAAAACCCAAAACGGTTCCTAGAGGTAATAAGAGAAAGACGCGGAGTTTCCAGAGAATTTCGGTCGATTTGAGAGTGGTTATGAATGCGATGTTTGCTCCGGTCACCTTACCTGATTTTATGGCGGGAGATCTTGGCACCGGCGATCATTCCAAGAAAGTCAAGAAAGCGAATGTCGCCACCGGCTCATGAATTCAACCCTAACCACTTCTTATCTTTCGTATGTTAATTAATTGATTTTTTCATTTATTTCTTTTATCTTTTTGTGAAGCAAATTTACGTGAATCTTGTATTGAAGAAATTAACGAAGAGAATTCCAAGATAAATTTCTGAATTCCAAATAATACTGTGTTCCATCTTTTTTATTCTTTTTTCTGAAGTAAAGGCAGTTAATTGTGTTTGTAACCTAAATTTACAATTCAGGCTTAAGACTTTTACATTGCATTCAGTTTATTTAGAGAAAGCTTTTATTGACTTGCGTAGTATTAAATTAGTAGAAATGTGTTTCTTTTATTAAATTGCAATAAGAAGAAATGAGTTTAGTGTTGGGTGATCCTACTGGATCTGATAAATGTGAGGGGGTTGCTAGGGCACGAGATATGAAAGCAAAAGTACAAGTAGCAACATGCGTCTTAGGTGAATTAATTAGATGGACCGGTGCATGCATGTTAAATAGTAGTAACACTATATAAAAGACACAAAATGTGGATAAAATGAGCAGGGAAGATCCCCCTTCCTTTCTAAGGTGGGTGAAACCCAAGAAGCATGCATGTTCTCTCTCTCTCTCTCTCTCTCTTCTCTCTCTCTCTCTCTCTCTCTGGGGAGCAAGGGTTATTTCACATCTACCTGCCTAAATATGAAGAGTTATCTATGGACATATCACTTTACATGGTTAATTCTCTTTATTGTGTTTTATGTAACAAGAGTTATACGGGGACATATCACACTCTACATTTATAGGTTAGGAAGTTACATCTTAGTTCCAAAGTGGAGTAGGTGTTGAAATATATAAAATTTTAGCTCACTTCGAATATTCATAATTTTTTCATATGAATTATGTTTAGGGAAAATAACATAAAAATCCTTAAGTTTTAACAAAAATATCGGTTTTATCCTTAAACATATTTTATGTAGGTAAAATTGGATGTTTTGTTTAATTTGTTCATTTATACCCTTTTAGTCGGTTTCCAAATAATATACCGGTTATTTAATGATAATAAAGTCATTGAGTTTTCAAAAATATTCGAATTTACCCTTAAATTATAAGAAATGTTCGGATTTACATTTACTTTCATTGTTATTTTGATAAATTTGATTATTATTATTATTATTATTATTATTATTATATATGTTTAATACATTTTTAAATATATAAAAATATTTTGATACGTATATTTTTAAATACATTTTTAAATGTATAACAATATTTTTGTAGATTTAAAAATATATTTACTTGTATTTAGTATTTATATACATTTGAAAGCTAATGTATGCCTTTAAAAACGTATTTATATATTAAAAATATATTTATTTGTATTTAGTAGGTAATATATATATATATATATATATATATATATATATATATAATATTATATATATATATATTATATATATCGTATAAAAATATATTGTATACATATAAATATAAAAATATCTATTTATACGGTTTATATTGAAGATATAATTATATGTAT